CAGATAGACAGAGACAGAGAGACAGAAAGCAAGAAATCACCCCCCAGGGGGGATGGCCACGCCGCAATCCCTTCTCCTTTGGGATCTTGGGCACATACGTACACACACCTGGCGTGAGTTTAAGCCACTGGATCAGGGACTCGATCCATGGTCGACTACATGGGAGTCCAGCGACATAGCCATTACACTAACTGCTGGTTCCACCAGAGTGTTTTTCAAGTCACCAAGTCTGAGACTTCAACCAGCAGTCAGCTATGTTGAATCCAGCCTCTTTAACCAGGTCTGCCACCAGCTGGCCTTACAATCTAATTATTTTTCATAGAAATTTTCTTCTATTAATTTATTGATCTATCAAACTACTAGCTAATTATAAAATATTTACTATTAGGCTTTCTTTTTTAAAAAAGAATTATTTTACTTGACTTTATTTATTCATTTATTTTAATTTGACCAGAGAGGGACAGAGTGAAAGAGAGAGAAAGTGAGAAAGCAAGTCACCCTGTCCAGGACTCCACCAAGGTCGGCCATGTGGGAGTCCAGTGCCCTTAAGCACCACATCACCTGCCTGCCCAAGACTATTAAGCTTTCCATCCAGTGGATATTAGCTGGGCACCTCCTCCAGTTCAATGTTTTGTTTGTTTTGTTTTTGTTTCTTTGGCTTTGCAATAGGGCAGGTGCACTTGCTGAAGAGAAACAGAAACAATGAGGAGGAAAGTGAGAAATCACCCTCAAAAGGGGGTAGACACACCGCAATTCCTTCTCCTCCATTCTCCTCTTGGAGGTTTTGTTTGTTTGTTTTTGAGAGGTTTTTGTTATAGTACATGTGCACTTGCCAGAAGGACGGAGAGAGACAGAGAGACAGAAAGCAAGCAATCACCATCCAGGGGGGGATGGCCCCACCACAATCCCTTCTCCTCCATTCTCCTCTTGGGATCTTGGGCACGCACGCACATGTACCCGGCGTGAGTTTAAGCCACTGGGTCCGGGACTCAAACCACAGTCAACTACATCAGAGTTCAGTAACATAGCCATTATGCTAACTGCCGGTCCCTCCTCTAGGAATTTTGTGCACACATGCACACGCTCTATAACAACAACAGCAACAACAACAAAAAGGGTAAGCAGCTGAAATGGGTTAGAAATCGGATGCGTTTTAACTCATAGTTTCTGTACTAACTACTTTACTACTTGCTGCTCAAAACTTGATATCGGGACCAGAAGCAGTTGGTGTAATGGCTATATCGCTGGACTCCCACATAGCCGACTACAGTTCAAGTCCTGGACCCGGTGGCTTAAACTCATGCCAGGCACGTGTGCGTGCGTGCCCAAGATCCCAAGAGAAGATTGGAGTAGAAGGGATTAAACGTGGCCATCCACATTGGAGGGGTGATTTCTTGCTTTCTGTCTCTCTGTCTTTCTGGTGAGTGCATCATGCACACTATAGTAAAAATCTCTCCGAAAAAAAAAAAGGATACTTGATCTCAGCCACTTAATAATACCTTCATGTGTTATATGTCAGCCACAGTGACATACGCTTTATATTTGCTATCTCTAGTTGGCTATGTAGGAGTCTACTCAGGGGGTAGCCACACCACAATTCCCTCTCCTCCATTCTCCTCTTGGGATCCTGGACACGCATGCTTATGTGCCCAGCGTGAGTTTAAGCCACCGGGTCTGGGACTCCAATGGTGATCAATTACATGGGATTTCAGCAACACAGCCATTATGCCAATTGCTGGTCCCATCAGCTGCTTACCCTTTATTTGAGTTTGGTCAGTTTGCTTAGCTTAACTATTTAGCTTAACTATTTAGCTATTATAAAGTTATTCTAGTATTTATAAAATGTGGATAATTACTTTATTGGAGTTATTGTGAGGAGTGAAAAAATATATATAAGGCGAAGCACTCTCCTAATACATTAACATGCGAATTTAAAAAATTATATTCTACTTTTAAATTTTTAAATATGGGAATCTTCAGATTAAAAACCGTTTGAATCCTTCCCTTACATTTTAAGCATTGCTCTGGTGTCTCTTTAGTTTCCTTCATTTAAAAAATAAACAACTAAGCTCTGGTAAGTTTAATATCACCCCCTCTCTACATAAGAAAACATTCCCTATTTCTCTATTCTGAAAGGGATATAACTTTACAAGTGTATGTGTAAGCATAGTAACATGAAATTCCATAATGTTCCACGTCCTATTCTTTGGTTGGTTTCAATCCTTTAAGGTACATACAACTAAAATGTTTCACACATTCTGTACCCCAGATGATGTGAGACAAATGGGAAGGTTCGCGAAAAAGATTTGAGAAGGTTTTAGAATGTAGATTCTCACAGCTCACACCTCCTCTGAGTGCCAGTCCATGATATCACTCCTAGATGATTATTGAAGACATGAACATGAAAATATAACAATTAGCTAGGACACTTCAGGGTCTAGAATCCCATGAGATTCTGCTTGTTAAAAATGGTCCATGTGGACACTTTCAAAACCTGAAATTAGTTTGAATATTTTAGAAACCGTTCTAACACATACTAATAACAGACAAATGAGCTTGATACCAGACCCTGGAGATAACCAAAGAGAGCATTTGGGTCTAAAGTTCTCAGTAACGAATTGGGAATAGTCCTGACTTTTGACTTCCTCCCCATGCATGTGTAGAGTGCAAAATAACTGCATGCCCATGAAACTCAGAGATGCTTAAAACAAGATCTTTGGCATGTTGACTCAAGGTCCCATAACAAAGATATTCAATATAAATGTTACAGAAAGATAGACAATAAATTATAGGAATATTGCTGCTTATAGATAATAAAATTCTTTTTTTTTTTTAGGTTTATTCATTTATTTTTGCCGTAGGGTATGTCCACTTGCCAGAGAAAGACAGAGAGAGAGAAAGTAAGAACTCATCCCAGTGGTGATAGTCATTCTCCTCCTGGGATTTTGGGCACATATGCACACACTCTCAGCATGATTTTTATGCTGCCAGGTTGGGCACCATGTGGAAGTCCCAGAACCTTAACTATCATACCACCTGCTGGCTCCCAAGAATAAAGTTCTTAAGTGGATGGTTAGACTTAGCAAAACGTTTAGTCATTTTAAGAAGGAGGGCTGGGAGATGGCATAGCAGTTACATCACTAGACTCCCACATGGCCAACTGTGATTCAAGTTCTGGACCTGGTGTCTTGAAATTCATGCCAGGTGTGTGAGCGTGCATGCCTAAGATCCCAGAAGGGATTGCAGTGTGGCCATCCCTCTTGGGAAATTATTTCTCACTTTCATTCTCACTCTCTCTCTCTCTCTCTCTCTCTCTCTCTCTCTAGTGAGTGCATGCCCCCTAGGGCAAAATCTCTAAAAATAATACTAATAATAATACATAAAATAAAAAGATTAAAAAGAAATTCATTTCATTTCTTCCATGAGCAAGAGAGGCAGGAGAGAGACAGCACCCCAGCAGGATCCCAACACTGCAATCTACTCCCAGCTTCCTCCACCAGCCCCAGATCATAGGGAAGTCTCCAGATGCGAACTGGGAGCCCTTCCAGGTGGGTCCACCTTGCTGAGCACCACGTCTTATCCCTACGCCACCATCCAGTGCCCACGTTTAGTAATC